ATTGTAAGGTGATGTGACTCTCTGATGTGGAGTGCTCATCTTTACAGGAAGTCTAACCACCACAAAGAGCCCCGGGAAGTTGTCATTTCCTGTGATGGCACAATTGGGATCAGAGCTACAGTGGAGTTGGGATGGAATGTTCATCCCCACTTCTTTCTATCCTACATTCATCTCCCAGCTATAGCTATAGGGAGTGTGTATAAAAATGAAAGAGTTTTCATTTTTAAGCACATTTCCTTTGAGAGAGTCCCAAGAAAAATACAGATTTTGTGGGAATGCTCTAGACAACTTATCTCATACTGACAGCAGAAAGAGAGGATTCATTCTCTTTCCTCCTATATTTGGAGAACAGATTTCCCCAAGGAGGTTAGTTTAAACCAGTTCCCCCCACCCCCCAAATGGGCAATTTTAAGACGTGTGCACTTCAACTCTTGGAACTCCACTGCAAGGTGACATCAGTTTGGGTGAGATTAAATCAACACAAACTCATCAATATTTTGAGTAATAACTTTGTCTCTCTAATCCTAGGTGCTGAATTATGTATTTGGATGACACATCACCCTTGCCGCCACCCTCCCAACATATACACCTTAAACCAATTATATACATTATATGAATATAATGTCTTTGTTTCCGTAGCAAACAATAGACATGAAGGAATGGGCATGAGACTGGGTGGAAATATGATAGGATAGTGTACATTTGGCACATATAAAAACATTATTAGATGTCAAGGATACTTTGTGAGAATTTGTAATGTGAAATTCTTCTCATCTGCTCTATGTGAGAATGGTAAACTACATTGTGGTCATATTCCAGAGCTATAAATTGCTGCATTAAGATTCTTGAAATATATTTTCATAGCAAATCGGTTAAGGGAACACTGAAAATTATTCCTGCAAGCATTGAGAGAATAAAACAGATTTATACTGCGTACACAATGTTCAGTGTATGGTCTGGGGAAATGGATACAGTATTTTATTCAATAGGATTAAAATGAGACCTGTAAAAAGTAGCACAGGGAACACATATTTTCCACAAATGCCATGGTATTCCCAACCCATATTTAATTAAAATTAACAAATCAAAATAGATCAGCTAGAAAAATATAACTATGGATCTTTTCCTGAGTCAAGCCATATACTTTGGTTCTTCCATGAAGGATGGCACCACCACACAACAGTTCTTGTCATTGTGCAACTTCTTATTGACACAAAAGAGCCAGAATGACACTTGCTAAGACTTCATTCAAATTTGATTTCCTTTATTATCTAAAGTGCTGCTGTGTTTTGACTTTTCCTGGGTTTAGATTTTAGTAATATTGCAACACAAAGAATAGAAACTATTGTCCCACTTTAAAAATCTTCCTAGATGGCTAAATTTGGGACAGTGTTTATTTTCAGTAGTGACACGAAACAGAAAAGAGTGACAGTTGTAGTATATGAATTACTTCACCATTGTTCATTTATGAATCATATTTATAAAATCCTAGCAGTGTCACAATACTATCAAGAAGATCATGGCTAGATTGTGTTGGCGGGATTGTAAATATATGAATACTTATTGTCATCTTTGGTCACGATGCCCAGTTAATCATTCTTTTGGTAAATCCTTCATGAAGAAATCAAGAAGAATCACTCAACAGACTTTCACAATCAATCCTGCTGTTGCTTTATGATTAATTTTCCTAAGTATAAAAATTAATGGAATACAAATAATTGATTCAATTCCTGTTGTCAGCTGCTGCAGAAACATGGAAAACTAATCTTTCTTTGGCTTAGAAGTATTTAAATATATGAGAATTCATTTTGGCTGAAAAATTAACCTAATAGTCCCCCTCCCCCATCAAAAAAGGCAACAAACTTACTACAATTATTCATAAGGTATATTGTCAGTCTTTTTCTAATAGATTGCTTTTACAAATGCCATTCTGGATAAAAATATTAAAATTCCTATTTCAAATGTATGCAATCTTCCTTTGCATTAAATATGTTTCCAAATATAAAATATATCGAAGTGTTGGGTAGGAGTGGAAGTGATGTTTTTAATTTGCTGCTGCTTTTTCTTTCTTTATGTTTGTTTGTTTCAGTACCATGTTGGATTAAAAGGTTGGGCTTGACAAGGCTCTCTTTCCTGTTTAAAAGGATTTAGTCCCCAAATATCTTAACCCTACATCTGGTGAAGCATATGTATTATGGCCTGGAGACTAACTATCAACCAGAAAAAGTCCTGTTAATTTTTGTTTATTACGATGTCCAAAGAACCAAATTTAGGAATAGAAAGTACATGGAGCAGTGCTGTGTAAAAATTCCCTCCACTTATTTGACGAAGATTCCATGTTCTTTCCAAAATCCTGTTCAAAGGACTGTCCAAATTCATCCATTGGCCTTAGCAAAAAAAAAAAAAAAAGGGCAGTTTTTACCACATCTTAGAACATGCCAACCTAAATGTGGATGACCAAGTACCTGAAACCAGGTCTCATTTAATGTCAAGATGGGAGGAGATACCTCCTAATCTTCAATAATTTCATTTATTGTTTTGAATATGAAATGTTTTCCAAGTTTCCCAATCAGTAAATCTTCCTTAACTTAGGAGGATTTAATTAAGGCGCAAAAGTGCAAGCAATTATTTTACTTATATAAATACAGTAACTTGAGCCAATTGGTCAATCAATTGGACAAAGAGCTGCTGCATTCTAGACCAATTGAAGTTCCTGAACTGTATATGCAATTTAGTACATCATGATAAACTATGGTTTATTTAACTATGATATACTGAACAGTCATAACTAGCTACATTTATCATATAATAGTAAGCCAGCCAAATCTATGATTTACACACACACACACACACACACACACACGTTCATACATATTCCACTAAGCTTGGTTATTTGCTTGCAGACATTTCATTAACTTCACTAGATAACATCAGCCCAGCACTGGTCTTATTACCTAATTGGATAATGAAAAGACTGGAAGTAAACAACCAAGCTCAGAGAGTGCCAAGAACTACATAGGTCAACCCTGAGCTATATATAGATAATCTATTCTTTTGGAACATCCCACCAAGTCAGGTCCAACACATTACCTATGAACTTCATCCATGTCTTTAGAACTGTTGCAGGAAATATACCTGATGCAAATCAGTGACATCAGAAGTCATTTACTTTCAGAGGATTCATGCGGTTTTTCAAACTCTACTAAAAAAAAATCTATGATTTTGTATCTGGGCTCTTCTGCATGCTTCCCCAAATATCAGACTAACTTTTCTATGGTCAATACATGGGCAATAGCACTAAGATCCTGAAAATTTATGTATTTATATATCAAATTTGGAGGCTGCCCATCTCACTCAACAGAGCAACTCTGGCCAGGGTACAATTAAAAGATAAAAATCGTATAAATATTATATTCTTCTAGAAGGCAATTAAAACAGGAATAGAATAATTAAAGTTAGAAACTAAAAAGTGGGAGGAGGGACATCAAGGCACCAACCAACCCCAAGATTACTAATGTTGATTAATTAAATTAACGATAACTGCTTCCATCTGAGTTTTTGCACCCCAGAGATCTTACTCTGTGTAGACTTTCCTTTTTTTATAGCTCTCCAATAAGTCAGAAATAAGCAAGTTTAAGGTACAATGGATCTAAGTAAGTTAGTTTTAGTATACTATATTACAGCTAATGGGCATGGTACAGCAGGTCCCCAAAAATGGTATCTTCCTGCTGACTCCTCCTCCCCAAGTCCCAAACAGAGAAGGAGAAAACTTCAGTTCACAAACAAGTTCTTCCACATTCACTCCTTGGGAACCTCCCTTCAGGTCACTTGCTCTTCTTAAAGGTCTGGTGCAAGACGCAACACAGTTCTAATGTGTGCCACCCAGCAACCCTCTCTAGTTATATAGGCAAGCTGATTTCTAGGGTGCTGCCTGGGAAGATCAGACCTGGAACAGTTGAGTCCATGGAAAGGTGCTTGGGGATGGCTTGGTGCCTGGGAAGAAGATATTTCTGAGGACATTCTTCATGGGACATCACTGGAACCTCAAAAAACAATCTCCTTTAAATGATCTCCATGGATGAAGCATAGCTGAGCATCTTTTGATATGTATGTATGTTACTATGTAACACATTGGTGTCACACCAACCAAATAATGCAGTACTATATTGGGGGTAGATAATGTGTATTTTATCCTGCATTTTTTTAAAAAAACTGTTGCAATTTGAAAGGTGGTGCTGGTAATTTATATTATATTGTTATGTTGTCGATTGTTAGCTAACTTGGATATAGGAAGAGATGGGTTACGTGAAACTATTTTGGCTGGCAAGTGAGTTAGAAAATTGTGTGTGTGTGTGTGTGTGTGTGTGTATAACAATCACAAACAGAAAGGTTTTTAAATTAGATTAATGAAATACAGTTGATGTGACTCCTACCCATGAATTTAATGACTTCCCTGTTTTGCCAGTTTGGTAGGGCTGTAAGGGCTACGTACAAGGCTTTGTGGTACCAAATACTGTCCCAGGTTACATTAGGTTGTACAGCCTTGTCTAAATAGCACCTCTGTGGATCCACACATGGATAGAACAGGAAGCCTCTGGGTTTGGGACAGCAGTTCCTCCCAACTGCTTGGAATCAAGTCTTGTCTTACATTCACATTTTATTTATTTGTTTGTTTGTTTGTCAAACATGTACAAGATAACAAGTATAGATATGAACATAAACATGAACAAAGGGAGTCAATACAGATAAATGGGGACAGTAAGACAGGGATGGTAGGCATGCAGGTGTCCTTATGCACGCCCCCTTTAAGGACCTCTTAGGAATGGGGTGAGGTCCATGGTAGACAGTTTGAGATTGAAGCTGTGAGGGGTTGAGGCTGTAACAACGGAGTTGGGTAGGGCGTTCCATATTCTTCCTCACTCTGTAGCTGTTTGATTACAAAACTGTTTGCTTTGCTTTTCATCCAGCTTGGTTCTCAGAAGTGATCAAAGAGGGCAGGGATGTCTCAGAACAACACTAGCAAAGAAGCTCCTGCTGCTGCCACCCTGGGTGAGTGCCCTGTGTGTTACGAAACATTTCAGCCTCCAAAAGTGTCCCGCCGGATGCTGAGCTGCGGCCACACATTTTGCCATGACTGCTTGGTCAAGTGTCTACTGTCCCAAGAAGAAGGCCACCTGCAAAACACCCTTACGTGTCCCATCTGTCGCTTTGTGACCTTTCTCTGCAATAAAAAGGACTGCTGGCCTTCCAAGACAGCCCTGAGTCCATCCTCTTTGGAGTTGCCTCTCTCCCCTTCCTCGTTGCCAGTCCCCTGTAGAGTGCTACCCGGCTCTGCAAATACTTTGGTGGTTCCTGGCCATTTCCTCTTGCCACTGCACAATTTTGACAGATGCCAAAGTTTGCAGAGGTATCCTACTGTGGACTCCGTTGTACGGCCCAGTGGCCTGGAACATGAATCTCATATCTTCATTATTACTCAGTGTGGAATGCCGCTAATTGAAGAGGACTATATTACCATAGCTCAGGATCACGCTGCTCCTGAATCAGAGGAATCACAAACATGTCCTGGAATGGGCTGCTTCCAGTCACCTATTATGATGGCCGTTTTCCTTATCTCTGCTGTTGCTCTGTTGGGAGCTGTACTTCCCTGGCTTTTGCTGGTGAAAAATAATGAATGAACACGTTGGGTGAATCCTTCCATTTCCAAGGTGGGACTATTCCATGATGAAGATTGCTCATCGCTACCTGTACAAGTATGGATGCCCAAATGTTTTCAGGGTCCAGATGGATGGGAAGTCTATGAAGGAACTGAAAATTGCAGAAAATGGTATTAGTGTTATTCTTCCCTTGTCAGGGTTAACAGTATCCTTCCTTCAGAGATGCAAGGAAGACCACCAAGAGAAATGGTTGATCCTTATACTGAGTAACTTCCATTACTATTGCATCCTCTTGTTTGATTGTATTGGTCTTCAACTCCATGACATCCAGGCAGCAGGTTAATGGCTGTGCTAGTGATTATTGATATTGTAATCTGATCTATTTGGACAGTGCTGAGGTGAGGGAGGATATAGGAAGGCAATTATTCATGATCTTAGTTATATGGTAAATGCTTATCTGCCCTTCCTCTGAGTTGCTCAAAGCTTTATGAAAGTTCTCCAATTCCCAATGAGGTCAGATCAGATTGTAGATATAAATATTTCTCAAGTTTATCTAATAACATTCCTTGCTGTTCCAGTATCTTTCCTGTCAACAGTCTTTATATGTCATTTGCCTCTAGAGGTCACCTTGAATCCTGTGCACAGGGAGATGGTCTTCACAAACAGTTCTGGCCTACTTAATTCCACCTTTCATTTGAGTGTCCACTGTAATTAAATAAACTATCCTGTTCAACGGATATCCTGTTCAACGGATGAAGTTTATGGCAGCCTAGGCAGTAAGGCTTAAATTTGGGCTTATTCCATTCAAATTCTAACTCTCCCATCAGATAGTTCTGCAATATTAACTCAGAAGGATTTTTATCCTGTAGACCAGCAAAGCCTATATAATCTACAAATATAATTGGGCAGAAATGATGTTTTGAGATGTTTCATTATGTTACCAGCATAGAAATTGCTTATTCTGTTCTCAAGGCAAAAGCACAGTGCAGATGTGACTAGTTGGGTTGCTGTTGAGCCAGGTCTGAGCAAGATATGCCTTCTGTACAATACTGTATTGCTAATGATCACTTCCGATGCTGTGGTGGGCTACCTACTGCTGTACTACATGTGTAAAGTATCAGTCATTGTGATATTTTAAAGCTAGATTTATATTATTTTTGTAGCTTCTGAGTTTTGTTTTCTACTTTTGATAATTGTTACAACTAAGATTAATAAAATAATTCCATTTTGGCTGCAGCTTTAGCAGATGGTCTACTTTAGTTTTCAAGAGCAGTTTTACCAAATTGTCTTTTCTTTATTCCAAAGCCTATTATTGTCAAAGTCTTTCATAACCTGCCTAGACGGGAATTCCTTCTTGTGAATCTCACTGTTGAATATATAGTCAATAAGCGCCCCTTATGGGCAGTAAAGGGAACATCACATGTATAATGTCCAAAGTCAGCTTTCCCCACCCAGGCAAACTCCAGACTAGCTAGGAATCCTGGGAGTTGTAGTCTTAGTATGTCAGAAAGTACCAAATTTGGGAAGTCTGGTGGGGAACTGCAGTGTGCATGTGTGCTGCCATCACAATGGCAGGTGCCACCAGGCAATTGAAGCCCCCCCTCCTTTTTACATGCATGTGATATTTGTGGTGTATGTTGAAATGAAGTCGCCGTGGTGATCTAAGGAATTGTTCAGTTGTGGTTAGAATTGCAAATATTCAATTGTAAAATAAAGTAAAAACAAATTGAGGAGTTCATACAACATACACAACTGTTATCCCAAGTCAAACATCTTACACCGATTCCCCAATACCATACATGTCCTTTTAAAAACAATTCAGTATTTTTAAAGGCTAGTAGTTCAGACATTCTGTAAAGAGTACTGTAAATAGGAGTTACCCAGCAAATCCTGGGCTTCATCTTAAAAAGAACATGGAAAATACCTTTTGAAACCCTAAAGTTTTCACATTTGGTAAGTTACAAGTTATAATTTGATGAATCAGAATATGTAACCTGGATGTCAAATGGTCGCCAAGAACTAAACTAGAGCCGGGGTGGGAAAGGTATAAATAGGATCTTCCAGGACTTTAAAAAGAATTGAAGAAGGAACATGCACCCCCAAATGGCTTCCGAGAGAATGAGGAAATTCTGAAAGGATGTTTTTTTTCAGCAATAACATGGTCCCCTTTATCCATAATTACTATTAGCTCCATGGGGAGCAAAAACCTGCTACACCATTTTTTTTAAGAGGGGGAAAAGAAGTGGAGATAAGCACTCTACAGGCAATTGGGTACAATTTCTAAATGTTCCACTTTTAATAGGAGAGGGCTATCTCCATACTGGAGAAGGTGCTTGGATTCCGTATAACATAAGTGCAGGCTGTTGCCACTTGGAAGCATAACAAATAGCCAAGTCAAAATATTTGGTCTGTAGATAGCAAGGATTCTTGACAAAGGTTCCTAAAATCTAAGAATGGGATCCAGGAATGACTTCTCCACACTTCTTTATTCCTCTATTTGATACAGGACTGGAAACCAGCAAGATATACAGTAGTATGAATATCAGGAGAGTCCTACAAGAACGGATCAACATTTTTAGTCCAGCATTTTGTTTCTCATGTTAGGCAATGGCTCAGGGGTAGGATTCAATTTTTTTAACAACCGGTTCTGTGGGTGTGGCTTAGTTGGTGGGCGTGGCTTGGTGGTCATGTGACTGGGTGGACATGGCTTGGTGGTCATGTTATTGGCTGGGCATGGCCAACTCAATATCACTCACATCAAGGCACGCATCTCCTCGCCTGGCCTCTCATGACTGTGGGGATGTTGCAACAGTCGTAAGTGTAAAAAATGGTCATAAGTCACTTTTTTCAGTGTGATTGTAACTTTGAATGGTCACTCCACACAAGCAAAGTACCAGCAAAGGAGGGGGGAAAAACTCCAGAGACATTCCTGAGACAGGAAGTCTAGTCCTGCCAAGAATGTAATAAGGGTTAATGGAGAGGCAGTTTCTGTAAGCAACACCAGAATGTTTCCTTCCTGCCTTCCTTACAGGATTAGGCCAGTAATTTCTTCTAACAACCAGTTCTCCGAACTGCTTAGAATGTTAACAACCGGTTCTAGAGAATAGGTGCGAACCTGTAGAATCCCACCCCTGCAATGACTGCCTGAGAAATTCACAAGCCAAGAGAAGGGAGCTACATCGTGTTCCTTCTTGCTGTGCTCTCCAATTGCCATTCAACACCAACTCCTCTGATTTGACAAGTAAAATATATACCTATGACATCAACTGTAACAGCAATTAGCCTGCAAATCATAGTCCTGAAAATTTCCTGTACTGCGATGAAAACTGTAAGATTTTGCTGAAGATTCACAAGAATAATAATATAGGAATAATCCTTTGGCCAAAGTACTTATGAAAGCACTAAGAAATTAAGCTGGGCCTAAAAAAAGCAAGGTTTCACATGGAGATTTTATAAGTGTTCAAAATGCCATGGGCACTACTATGTATTAATCAAGTTTTCTTGTTGATACTGCATGGTTCAGACAGTATTGCATTCAGATTAGTTTTTTTCCCGCCAATCTGCAAAGAAACACAACTCTTCAAAGAATTCCAAGGTGATCATTGAAATGATGCTAGATACGGCAGGCACTTTAAAAGCACAAGCCACTAAATGCTAAGTTTAGAAGGGGCCCTGGGATAGCAGATATATTGTGGTTTCGGAGTGGTTGTTTTATTCCATTGCCTGTTGTCAAGCTGGCGGAAGATGTTTTCCATTTTTTTTTACTATGCTGCACCAAAGTTCAAGGGCATCTGCAGTTATTCATGTGCTGCTCTTAGAAATTCTGATCTGACCTTGCAACACAGAGGCCTAATTCGTCCATTCCTCCCTCCATTTAATGTACCTTGTACAAAACTTGGTTTTGAAATGAATTCTATGAGAAATCAACCTTGGGTCAGAGGTGGTATTCAGCAGGTTCTAACCAGCTCTGGAGAACTAGTAGCAGAAATTCTGAGTAGTTCAGAGAACTGATAAATACCACCTCTGACTGGCCATAACCCGTCTCTGCCTCCCGAATCCCACCTGATCGGCTGGCTCTTCTTTTGTTGCCCTGCACAGGAGAACGGAGCTGGAAAGCAGGTTAGTGGGGTGGGCAGGGAATGGAGATTTTGCAGTATCCTTCCAGTGAAGTGGGGTGGAAATGGGGATTTTACAGTATCCTTCCCCTGCCACGCCCACCAAGCCACACTCACCAAGCCACGCCCACAGAACCGGTAGTAAAAAAAATTAAATACCACCACTGCCTTGGATCATAATTCTCCTCTCTCTCTAATCCTGGATAAAAGCAATGTTTGCATTTCTCTTCAAAGAGCCTGTGCAAACCTAGAATCATGCATGTGTCATCTTTGTTGCCAGAGATGCATTGGTTGCTGGTTTGCTTCTGGGTACAATTTGAGGTGCTGGTTATCCCCTTTAATGCCTTACATGGCTTGGAGCCAAGTTATCTGAAGGACTGCCTCTCTCTAGTTACATCTACCAGGAAAAACAAGCTACATTGCAAGTCCCATCTATTGGAAATGTACATCTCGTGGGACCAAGAAAAAAGGCCTTCTTAGTGGTGGCTCCCTCCCTGTGAAATATCATTCCTTCCAAGAGAAGATTGGTCTCCACCATGCTACTTTTCTGGAAGGACCTGAAGATGTTGTTCTGTCAGCAGGTCTGTGGAGCCCAGACTACCATGGAGCTGGTCAAGTGGCTGGTGTGATTATACAGGCTGCTGCCTTGGGGAGGAAGTGGGGAGGCAAGGTTTGATGTTGTGGATTTTTAATGCTGTACACCGCCCAGTGTTACCATGGATGAATTGGGTGGCCACCTACATTTGTTAAATACATTCTTTAAGATGCATTTTGATAGCATTTTACTCAACATAAAGCTAAATTGCTCAGTGATTTTAGATACTGTCTAGATCAGAGCTAGGGAACTATGGCCCCTTAATGACTTCTGGACTTCAACTCCCAGAATTCCTGAGTCAAGGACTGCTGGGAGTTGAAGTCCACACATTCATAAATGGGCCATAGTTCTCCCCACCCCAGATCTAGAGCAGGGCTGTCAAACTCCCAGCCTACAGGCTGGATGCATCACGCTCTGGCCATGCCCATGCCCGGTTTAGCAAAGGGGGAAAAAAGTTCCGATACATCATGTGATGCCGCTGTGACGATGTAAGTTTGACACCCCTGGTCTAGAGTGTTGACTTCCCCAGCCTGCTGCCTTCCAGAAGTGCTGTCTGTGCCAGCCAATGAGAATAATGCTGCAAGAATACCAGTCTTGGTAAGGGTGTTTCAATAACATAAAGCAGGAGTGTCAAACTCGTGGGCTGTGAACCAGATGCGTCATGCGCTGGCCCTGCCCCCACCCGGTTTAGTGAAGGGGAAAAATGTCATGTGATGATGCTGTGACGATGCGAGTTTGACACCCCTGACATAAAGTATATGCTTATTCAGCATCAGCAAAACAGAATCCCATCTTCAAATAATGCTAGGGAAGTGGCTTTCTTCTAGGAGGCCAGCTGCAGGGGTGGTATTCTACCAGTTCGGACCGGTTCAGGGAAACCAGTAGTTCCA